GTTGTGGTTGTGGTTGTGGTTGTGGTTATTATGGTTATGGTTTTGGTTGTGGTTGTGATGGTGCTGGTGGTTGTTGTTGTGGTGGTGGTTGTTGTGGTCGTTGTGGTGATTGTGGTGGTTGTGGTTGTGGTTAACCACCACAGCTGCAGCACCAACAACAACAGCAACAACAACAACAACAGCCACCACAACAACAACCACCACAAGAACAACAACAACAACCAAAACAACAACAACAACCACAACAACAACAACAACTTCCACCACAACAACAACAACAGCCACAACAACAACCAGAACAACAACCACAACCACCACCACAACAACCACCACAACCACCACAACAACCACAACAACAACCACCACAACCACAACAACAACAACCACAACCACAACAACCACAACCACAACCACAACAACCACAACCACATGCACAACAACCACAAGCACAACCACCACAAACAACCACCACCACAACAACCACAACCACAACAACCACCACCACAACAACAACCACCACCACCACAACAATCACCACCACAACAACAACCACCACAACCACAACCACCATAACCACCACCACAACCACCACCACAACCACCACCACCACCACAACCACAACCACAACAACCAGAACCACAACAACAACAACCACAACAACAACAACAACAACAACAACCACAACCACAACAACCACAACCACAACCACAACCACAAACTCAACCACAACCACGACAACAACCACCACCACCACAACCAGAAGAACCACCACCAGCACCACAATCACCACCACACCAACAAGCACCACAACAACGACCACAACCACCACAACAAAAACCACAACAACAGCCATAACCACAAGAACATCAACAACAACAACAACAACAACAACAACAACAACAAGCACAACAACAAGAAGCACAATAACAACCACAACACCAACAACATCAACAACCACAAACACAACAACCACAACAACCACAACAACAACAACAACAACGACAACAACCACCGCCACCACCACAACAACGACAACAAAGACAACATCCACAACCACCACAACAAGATTAACAACAACAACCACAACCACAACCACAACAACAACCACAACAACCACAACCACATCCACAACAACCACAACCACAACAACCACAATCACAACAACCACCACAACAACCACCACCACAACAACCACCACCACCACAACAACAACCACCACCACAACAACCACCACCACCACAACCACAACCACAACCACAACCATAACCACCACAACCACAACCACAACAACCACCACAACCACCAACCACCACAACAACCACAACAACCACCACGACCACCACAACCACAACCACGACCACGACCACGACAACCACGACCACCACAACCACGACCACCACAACCGCAACAAGCACCACAACCGCAACAACCACCACAACAGCAACAACAACAACAACAACAACAACAACAACAACAACAACAACAACAACAACAACAACAACAACCACACATAACCACAACAACAAGCACACCAACAACAACAACAACCACAACCACAACAACAAGCACACCACCACCACCAACAACAACAGCCACACCAACCACCACCACCTCAACAACAACAACAACAACCACACCAACCACCACCACCACCACCACAACAACAACAACAACAACCACAACAACCACCACAACCACAACCACAACCACAATCCCAACCACAACAACAACCACAACCACAACCACCAGAACCACAACCGCAACAACCAGAACCACAACCACAACCATAACCACAACCACCAAAACCACAACCACCACACCCACAACCACCACACCCACCACCACCACACCCACCACAACAACAACAACAACCACAACGACCACCACAACCACCACAACAACAACCACCACCATGACAACCACAGCCAACACCACGACAACCACCACAACAACCACCAACCCCACCAACCCCACCACAACCACAACCACAACCACAACCACAACCATGACAACCACGGCCACAACCACAACAGCCACAACCACAACCACAACACCGACAACAACAACAACAACCACGACAACAACAAAAGCAACAGCAACAACAACAACCACCACAACGACCACAACAACAACCACCACCACAACAACAACCACAACAAACCACCACCACAACAACAACCACCACCACCACAACGACAACAACAACAACAACAACAACAACAACCACAACAACAACAACAACAACAAAAACAACCACAACCACAACAACAACAATAACAACCACAACCACAACCACCACCACAACAACAACCTCAACAACAACCACAACCACAACAACAACAACAACAACAACAACAACAACAACAACAACAACCACAACCATAACCACCACAAGAACAACCACCACAACCACAAACAAAACAACCACCTCCACCACCACCACCGCCACCACAACAACCACCACAACCGCAACCACCATAACCACAACGACAAAGACAAC